AGCCGCCTTCTGTTTCCCAGAATGCCCTCTGGCCAGCCTGAGTGCTAAAACCGAAACAAAGGCAGGATGCAGCTGCTGCATCATTTCCTTGGTGCAGGCTCTCCTGAGAGGTCCTAGCAGACACCAGAGGGGGTGGTCTTAGGCCTTCCCTCCCGTGTGAGAGTGTGGGGAAAGGACTCAAAGGTTCTGAACAGGGCATAGTTTCCTCTTCCTCACAGGGTAAGACAGGCTGTGAGCGATTTTAATTTTTGTCCAAAAGTTCTCCTTCCTCCTTACTGTCCCCTCCACCACTAGCTCCAAATGGAGGCAGATGGCAGGACGGGAAAATGAATGTCGAGGCTGCCAGCAAAGATTACTGAGGGAGCAGCGGGCACACTGGCGTTTGATCAACTCATTTCATTTTGTTGTTATAGTGGTTTTTTTCCTTTCTTTTCTCTTTTCTTTTTCTTTTCTTCTTCTTCTTCTTCTTCTTGTTTTGTTTTTGAGAGAGGGTCTTACTATGTAACTCTGGCCTGAAACTCACTATGTAGACCAGGCTCGTCTTGAACTCACAGTTTTGCCTACTTCTGCCTCTCTGAGATTTAAGGCATGCACTTCCACACTCAGAAGATTAAAAATTATTATTATTATTACTATTACTTCTATTATTGAATGGCCTGAGATATTTTGATTACTAAGCCTCTTGGCACTGACGGTAGCTGCTTCATGTCTAAATCTGGATAGCAAACACCTTGGGGGAACAAGATCAGTAGAGAGAAGGAGCCTGGGCATGGGAAAGGCTGCCCTAGAGAAGCCTGCATTAGAAAGTTGGGACATTTGTAGCTCAGGTATCCAACCCAGGGATTTGAACATCCCTTCTCAGAATTAGGCAAGTGTCCTTTGACATCCACAATGGAACCACCGTGAATACTCTTGTGCAAGTACACACACACACACACACACACACACACACACAGAGAGAGAGAGAGAGAGAGAGAGAGAGAGAGAGAGAGAGAGAGAGAAATAGTAATCAATAAGAACATGTCAGCGTGTCCGTTGTGGTTAATAGCTCAGAAGGAAATGAGAACCTGCATACAGCTGATCGTCTTCGGAGCAGAATGAAGAATGGGAGGGTAGAGTTATATCGGTTCTCAGCATTTGCCGTGAAGCTTAAGCGAGGAGGTGTGATCCTGAAATGGAGTCAGGTTAGTTCTGGTGCCTGCCACTCAGCTGCTCCAGAGTGACTCTGTCTGGTTACATGGGGACAAGGGGTGCCTCTGGGTGAGTCTGGCACAGAATCTCTGACCTTTATAGCAAGAAATGAGAAGCTCACACTAAAATCTCTCCCTAAGTTGAAACCATAGTCAGGATTTTGAAGATATTAAACTCAGTAGTTAATAGAATTTTGAAAGTCGTTTTAATATTAGAGAATAAATTCATTATGAATAATTACAACTTGACCCTAAAATTTAATTCTAAAGCACTCACTAACTTCAGTGAATTCAATTACAAACAAAACAAAGCACCCACATACTCTGGAATGAGAGCTTAATTTCTGTGAGGTCTAAATTCACTTCCAAGAGAGTGTAAACTGACAAACAGGAAGCAGCAGCAGTCTACGTCTCTGCTGGATTATGGAAGAAAGGACACACCAGAGAGCGTGCTTCTGTTTACAAACTACTGTGCAAGCTTGCAAACGCTTACAAGCTGTCTAGCAAGGTGGAAGTCCACAGCACCACACTTCAGGGGCGTTTCTTTAAAAACCACAGCAGCACAAGGAGACACTAACAGATGTGCCTCAGGTTTGTCAATGAGCTGAAGAAGGAAAGATCCAAGAGGAACCATCCTGGAGAGCAGACACTAGCTGCCCACCCCACCCTCCACGACAGTGGTCTCTGGGGTTCCGGGGCTCACAGAAACGTGAGAATTGGGTGTCTTGGGGGTCTCTGTAAGATCGTGGAGGGCCTGTGGGTCCTTTAATCCCAAAACCACGCGGCTCAGAAGGCCTTTGAGTAGCTGCATCTCGCGAAGCAGGCGGTCCACCTTGGGCTGCAGAGCTTCGCGGGACTGTTCCACCGACGTGGACAGAGGCGCGCAAACATGTGGCCCGGCAGTGGGGACGTGGCCAGCAGCCAACTGCAACCCCGCAAAGGTGCTGTTCGGGTCGGAAGTGACTGAGGGGACAGATCTGGACACCGGGGTCTTCCGGAAGGAAAGCGGCTTATCCCCGGGCGCCAAGGCTGCAGCCTGTGGGACCGGAGCAGTGGTGGACGCCAGATCTAGGGCAGCGCCTGCAAGGCAACAAGCCTGGTCACCCGTGACTGAAATCGTTGCCCCTGATGTGGTGGGGGTAGGGGTGGGGGTGTGTGGAGGACTGAGATGGGAAGGTGGGAATATTGCAGGAGGACCACGGGGTTCAGGAGGCAAGGCACCGGCAGTGCTTAGCTGTCACTCACCCCTCCCGGGGAGCTGCAGCCAGGGGCTGCGTTTCCGGACACTTCGTGTAGTGGTGGCGGCCTCGCACCAGTACGATTCGAGCTCCTTGACCTCGGGCTCAGGAACCGTGTACTCGGCGCCCCAGTCGAAGCGGCGGACTGGCCGGCTGTACTTGTAGAAGGCAAACTGCAGTGGCGTGTCCCGTTTCTGCGGGTGCAGGCGCGTCTCGCAGCGCAACACCACGTGACCGCGCGCCTCCTGCGGGCTCAGAGTCCTGAGCACGGGTGTCTGGAACAGTTCTGCGGGGAGGGCGGCCCGGAGACCACGATGCTCATTGAGTTCGTGCAAGGAGTGGTACCCAACCAGGACCAACCTGTCCACCGTCCCGGATCCCACTCTTTGCCTTCTCCAAGAGGTCTCCTCGCCGACCCAGACAACAAGAAGGGATGGGAGAAAGAGAAGGGACAGAGAGACTGAGGCCACAGGGGTGGGCGGGTGGAGGTGATGGGGACAATTTGAACGTAGGCGGGATGCTGATAGATGCTACAAGTTACATCCTAGCTGGTAATCAGTTGGCATTCTCTATATTTAAATGGGACAGCTGCGGTCCCTCTTCGTAGTAATATAGTACGTCCTCAGACAAATAAGAACTCATCACTCCTAAGTGGGTTCCATAGCTAGAAAAAGAAACCTGGATGTGTGTCATAGGGAAAGGACACCTGCCAAAAGGACACCTGCCTACACAACAGGTTGCAAAGGGCAGCCTCCCTTTTTTACCCCGCTTCTAGCCCCAGAATTTCCCAGTGGTCGTCTCTCCTACCTAGCACAGTGACAGCCACCTTGGAGGAGAACATGGGCGCACTCTCCACTGGGATGCGCATGGTGCCGGAGCACTGGTAGTGACCGCTGTCACTAGCTCGTGCCTGTAACACTGTGTAGTTGGTACTAGAATGGAAGTATCTCACGGCCTGGCCATCGTGGTAGTAGTGAAGTTTGTAGACGACTTTGTCGTACCAGCCACGGCAGCGCATCACCAGGGGCTCTCCCTCGAACACAGGAGCATACGGCACTTGCAGAATTAGCCAGTCTGCAACAGACCCCACAGACACCGCTTACTCATCAGAAAAACCAGCCCTGCAGGGTGTGGTGGAACATGCCTTTAGTCCCGGCACTCAACCAGGCAGAGGCAGGAGGATCTCTGTGAGTTCGATACCTGCTGGTCTTACAAAGTTCCAGGTTAACCAGTGCTGTTACACAGCTGACCTCCAACCAAAACAAGAAAACCCAGCTCTGTAGGTCTCCTATTCTCAGCTTCCCTTAACCATTTCCCAGCTTCCCTGCTCCTACATCCCCCCATCCCCATCCTGTTTGCATTCCCAAACCCCTTTCCTGTTTTCTGGCCTGGTGACTAGCACCTGGAATCCCCACGGTGCCAAGCTGAACAGGGGGAAGGAAAATGGTACCAGGGAAGCGTAGCTACCTCAGATTTGGTTCCGGCCTCAGAGAGCCTCCTTTTACAATCAAGCTTAGACCCTACAGAATGGCTTCAAGGCCTTCCTGACCGAGACCCTGATAGCCTCTCCTGTGCCTGGTTTCTCTTTTATCCACCTCATGGTTTCATTCAACATGAGCTAGGCCTAGCCACACTGAACTGCTCAGAAAGTTGGCTCTGTACAGAGCCCAGGGCTCTTGTAAGCTGTTGCATAAATTCAAAAGACCCTGCTTCTCAGCTTAAATTGGAGCCTCTTTGACCTGCATGCCTGTGTGTAGGCCTTATCTCCCAAAGAAAAGGTCTCTAAGAACAGCCTTAGGTATCTCCTACAGCGCCTTGTATGTACCCAGTCCTCATCGTTACCACCACCTCCAGCGCCTCTACCACCACCACCTCCACCACCATCAGCACTTACTAACCTTAGCATATCCTAAATGCCATTTTAGGTATTATACATTTTAAAATTATTTATTTATTCTTTCATTCATTTGTTTGGAATTACGTGTGTATGCCTCTGTCTGTGTGGGTATGTGCTCGTGAGTGCAGATGGCAGAGGAGGCCAGAGGAGGGAGTCATATCCGCTGGATCTTAAGTTACGGGTGGTTAAGGCCTAGTGCGGGTGCCGGGCACCCAACTCCAGTTCTCTGCAAGAGTATTATGTATACTTAACCACTGGGCCATCTCTCCAGGCCCTGCTTCAGGTATTATACACTGAAAAAGAATCCTGCAGGCCAGCTATACCTGTAATTCGAGCACTTGGAAAGCTGAAGCAGGATTAGAAGCCAAGGCATGCCTGGGCTTCAGATGGAAATCCTGTCCCCAAAATCTTTGCAAGGCACAGTCACAATTTCTGTACCATTCTCAGTCTGTCAGTTATGGCCACCGTCTGTGAGCATTCTGGCTTCCATATGACAGGAAAGCTCTAGAAGTGTTAAATGATAACTTGAACATTAATCAGTGTTCTTTAGATGCTTAATAAAAATTGCTACCTGCGAAAGTAAGATCATCTATCTTCTATACGAAGCAACTAATCATGTATCTTAATGAGTACGTTTCTATTACTTTTCCTATCCTGGTTTTTGGTTTGATGGGCTTATTTGTTTGTTTTAACACAGGATATTATTCACTAAGTAACCATGGCTGGGTTGCGGATTTCTAGTCATTCTTCTGCTTCTGCTTTTTCAGAGTTAATTTCTCATTCGATTGCTGGGTGCTCATGTATACATGCCAACAGCCCAAGTTTTATTTTGTTCAATTCCTCTACCTGCCTTTCTTCTTTTCCTTCTCCTTCCTTCTTTTCCCCTGCCCCATCTCTTTTTCTCTCTCATATTCCATTCTTTATAAGAAGACTTTTGAGGTAGAGTATTACTATACTGCCTAGGCTGGTCTCAAACTTGTGGCAATTCTCCTGCCTCAGCTTCCTGAATTTGAGATTACAGGTATGTATTACTCTACCTGGCTACCCTTGTTTTTTTAAACATCACAAATAAGCCAAGACTACTCAGAGAAATCCCCTCTCAAAACAAGCAAACATCACAAATAATTAGCTTTCATTGTGGTATTGTTTTTCAAACAAAAAGTATTTTTAATTATTTTTCTCCCTTCATCTGCATTTCCCCCTTTTCCTTGTGGCCTACCATTTCCAATAGTCTTGTTCACTAGGGATACTTACATGTTGCGCTGACTTTTAGGCACTCTTGTTCTCCGCTCTTGGTCTCCTACCTAATATGAAATATACCCCATTCTCACATCCTCTTATTTACATACACACAAACATTAAAAGTTAAAATCCTGGCTGGACATGGTGGCGCACACCCTTAACCCCAGCATTTAGGAAGAAGAGGCAGGCAGAACTCAGTGAGTTCCAAGCCAGCAGGTAGGTCAGTGAGAACCTACCTCAAGAAAAAGCAAAACAAACAAGCAAAAAGGACTGTGGTTGGGTATGGTGGTGCATGCCGTAATCCCAGTGCTTAAGAGACAGACACAAAGGAATTCTTGTAAATTCAAAGCCAACCTGGTCTACAGAGTGAACTCCAGGCCAGCCAGGGATGCTATTAATATCAATAGAGAGGTAGAAAGAGATAGAAATAAAGAGAGAGAGAGAGAGAGAGAGAGAGAGAGAGAGAGAGAGAAGAGGGGGAGGAAGAAAAAAGAAAGAAAAGAAAGTTAAGATTCCAAAAGTACAATGAGAGGGCAATTTTTAATTTTCTGAAACTGGGTCACCTCACTTAATATATTAATAATGTTTATTTGCTTCCTGCTCCATCAGGAAGACAAGGGGTCCTTTGGGGCCAGAAAAATTTTACTGCAGCTCTCTGCCTACTCCAAAGACTTAAAGTGGCACTGTGTGACCTTTATCTTGTCCTTTGAGCATAGCCTGGTGTCTGCCCAGCCAGGAGGGTCAATATCACTAGAAACAACACTGTTGTCTCCTCTTTCCGTGTTTGGATCACTCACCGTTAGACACAGAGAGGTGGATGGGGTCACTGACGGGAGCTCCCCGTGTTTGACATCGATACACCCCTGGTGTCTGCACCTCAATGCTCTTCTTGTGGGAAGGCAGGAGGACATGGCCCAAATACCAGAGAGTGCTAATGGGCCGGAGCTCGAGCAGAAGAGGGTGGTATCCGTCACAGCGCAGAGTTACTCTCTCGCCCTTGAAGATTGTAGTCCAAGGTGGGTGTAGAGACAATATGGGCTTCTCCAGAGTAGCTGGGGGTGTGGGGCATGGGGTATGGGGAGGAAAAAAAGGAAGGTGAGGTGCCTACCCAAAACTGAAGTCTGAGGTTGGAATTTCTTAGAAAACATCCATTTCTGGGACACAGTCCACATATGAACCCACCCTGGGGAGAAGGGAGACCACAGTCATGGGACTCCAAACAAGGATTCTATTAATCGGAGCCCGTTCTGGCTGTCTATGCACAAGAAGACTTAGTCACCAAGATTGAGCAAGAGTGGGGGGGAAGCACCATCTCAGGACAGCCGGGAACTGGGGCGTTTGCCCTACTGGAATTTATCAAAACTTGGATGAGAGATGTAGACGACTCACCAGCCTGCCCACTGCTTGGAACTGCAAAAGCAAGAAAGAAGGAAGAAGGTGAAGAATATTCTCTACGATAGGACAGACTCTTGATCCCAGGAAAGACTGAACTGTCTCAAATCACCTAGCTTTGAGAGAGCTACCTCAGTTTCATCCTTCCAAAGCAGATGCTGAGCCATCTGAAATCTGAGATCTACATCACCAGCTTTCTTATCCCACACACCCTGCCCTGCCTTATCCTCCTCCCCAAATCCTACTGATGGCACCGCAGCATCACCAACTCACCTAGGAGCAGGAGGGCTGCAAGGGTCCACATGATGAGTCTGCCTACAGCAGCTGTAGAAGATTGAGGATACGCTGGCACAGAAGAGGGACAGAGAGGGGGAAATGGCGGCTATGAGCTGATACTGAGACCTAGGAGACCCTGTTGCTTCTTCTGTCCATTCCTACTTCTTGAAAATGGTGCAATAGAGAAAGCAGGACATCACCTGAATGTGCCACTCACTTATCCCCAGCATCAGGCACTGTCCCAGCTGCTGCCTTGGTACCCATGTCCCAGCTCAGTGCAGCCTGGACTTCTACAGGGAGGGCCTATAGAGCAAGGTGTGCCTTCTCTAGCACACACGAACCCCATAGATCCCCAGGCCCCAACAGGTGTCTTTGATATCTCTTTCTCACTCTCGTCCTTTCCCCCACCAACCAGTCCTGTTGATGTCCACAAAGCCCATCTTGTTTCTGCCTAATTCCTGAGAGGTCAATGCTGAGTTCCCGGAAGCAGAGCTCACATCCTCCCACAAAATGAGTAAACAGAAAGGAATGATTCAACCCTCCTGCCATGCCCCTGCTGATCTGTTGTTCCCCAGTCAAAACTAGAAGTGTAATGTATTTTCTCCTCCTTCTTTCCTAGAATCCGAAACCCTCAGAAATTAGAAAAGCCTTCCCTTCCGGTCCACAATGATCTCACCTTATTGCACCTCCACTCCCTTGTGCCTTTCTTCTTTCCTTCCCCCAGTCCCTAAGACCCTTCCCCAGCCACGTCTTAGTCCTCAGGGCTTGTAGCCTGGAAGAAGAGTCACTACCTCAGCCCCTCAAAGGCATCTCAGATCAGACCTCTGTGCTCTGGTTCTCCTGCACTCTGAGCCACGTGACCACACCTGAGCAAGGAGGAGCCTGAATTTTCATGTAAATATTTAATGAAGTTTCCAACCCGATAGCATGTCTCCCTGAGCTCTATCTTGCCCACACTTGCTGCTGTTTAGAACCAGGATACCTGCTTTGCTTGGAACTCTAGCAGGAAGGAGATCAGTGATCAGATCCCCAAGATCGCATCCCCCAATTTTGCTAATGCACCAAGTATTCCTCTGAGAATTCCCTGATATTTTAGGTGCAACATGCTTTCCCCTGTTAAAATGCAAATGTCTCTGAGGAAAATATGGCCAATTGTTTAAAGTATGCTGATGCTTTTGGATCTTGCTTTGGGAGCAGGATTTGATGGCGAGGCAGAGGTGGGGGGGCAGCAGATAAGTAGGTCTGAAAAGTAGGAAAGTATCCAATAAGGTGAGCAGAGTTGGAGACAGAGAGAGCTGGATACAGAGAGCAGAGATGAATGCTCCCTTTAGGCAATGCTCTCATGCTTACTGAACCCTGCCTGCTTCCTCATCTTGCCTCCTCCTTTGGGATCAGTGTGGAACTCTGTCGTGGTATATTAAGTAGGCAAAGATGTGTTACTTTTGTTTATGCTGCGATTGCTTGATGATGTAAAGATGTGTTGCATTTGTTTTACCTTGATTGGTCTAATAAAGAGCTGAGCCGGCAATAGCATAATAATAATAAATAAGCAGAGAAAGGACAGGTGGGGCTTGCAGGCAAAGAGAATAAATAGGAGGAGAAATCTAGGCTTGAGAGAGAGGACAAGGAGAGAAGAAGAGCAAGGAGAAAAAGAAGGGCTACACCCAGGGCAAGAAGCCAGGCAACTGCTAGCCAGTCAGACAGAGAGACAGTAAGAAAGTAAGAAAAGCTCTGAGGGGAAAAGTAGGTAAAGAGAAATAGGTTTATTTAAGTTGAAAGAGCTAGCCAGAAACAAGCGTAAGCAAGGCCGAGCATTCATAATTAATAAGTCTCTGTGTTGTGATTTGGGAGCTGGTTGGTGAACCAAAGGAAAAAGCCTGGTACAGGACTCGTCATGTGAGCCAGAGCTGGTCCCCACGGTCTGACTTCTGCAAGGCCACCGCCTCTACGACAGGAGTACCACACACCTGACAGATGCCCTTGCTGCATACACAAGCGGACTCTGTTTTGGCTTCTCATAAGCCAGCAACCAAGATCTCAGCCCCTTTACTGGATTTCAGAAGAAGCCTGATCACACCAAAAATTCATTCGCTATGTAGTCTTGTGAACTCACAGGAGTCAGCCACAGAGCCCTTTAACCACACAGATAACGCCCAGAGTTTGACCTGAAAACAGCCCCGACCAGCACTTGTTTATTCTATGCTTTCCTCCGAATTTCTCCCAAGTCGGTCTTCATCCTTTGCACATTGCCAAGTCCTTTAGTATGCAGATAAATTTGGAAATTTTTGTTGTTAGGGTTTTGTTTTTCCTCTTTAAGGGCCTTGTCATCCTGCCTGGCCTCGTCTCAAACTCTAAAGTGAGCTCAAGTGTTCCTCTTTTCCTCCACCCTCTATGCGGTGGGACAACCGGCGTGCATCACCACACTGGGCTTGAGTAATTCTTTGACTTCTTTGAAGCCTGTCTCAGCAAAACTTCCTGGCAAGATGTGCCACGATTTGGTAAGGACGGTGGTAAGTAGACTGCTCTCCGAGGCAACGTGGGGTAAGAAGAGCTCACGTACAGGGAGTGCGCCAGTGTGTGACAGGGACCATGTTCGTGCTTCACACAAGGAAAAGTGCTTCGTTCATTCCTCACGGGGGGGGGGGGGGGGCTGGAGGGAGGGATTGTTACTAGTTCTGTTTTACATGTGAGGAAACTGAGGTGACAGAAAACAGGGATGCTTGAGGAGACGCACACTCTAAAAATCTGTTCTCAAGTCTATCTCTCGTTAGGGGTCCACGGTGCTGAACAGGGAAGGCTGTGCCTTCAGCCTTTGTAAGTCTCCTCTATCGTGTCCTTCTTTTCTGACTGCTATCCACACCACTGTTCCCTACATATTGGCATCAGCTGTGCAATGTTTAATGTATGTTCTTCTATATGTGCATATGTGAGACTGAGAGTTGTTTCCTCCTGTTTCATAATCCTCTCTAGGGTTGGGATTAAGGGTCTGCACCACCCAGGTTCTATGGCAACTAGTGTGGCTACTGGGATTAAAGGTGTGTGTTACCACAGCCTGGTCTGTAAGGCTGGCCAAAGGGGCTGATTTACTTTCTGGTTTTCAGGAAAGTTTTATTTATTAAAATACAAATGAAATGCCACTACATATGTGTGTATGTATGTGTCTATTCTTTTATGTTTAAGTGTGTTCTGTCTGCATGTATGGTTGTGCACCATGTGCATGCCTAGTGCCTGCAGAGGTCAGAAGAGGGGGTCAGATCCCCTAGAACTGGAGTGACGGAGGTTGTGAGCCACCATGTGAGTGGTGGGAATTGAACCTAGGTCCCCTGGAAGAACAGTCGGTGCTCTTAACCACCAAGCCATCTCTCCATCCCCTACATGTTTATATATTGAATCTTGGGAAATATTTAGCATTAGTAAAGTACATAAATGGTGTATTTTGAATGTTTTTCTTTATTTAAAATTAATTCCATGTAAAATTTACTCTTGCTGCTCTATGTGAATCACGTTTATTGCTTCATGCTTTCACCAAGTGGTACCTGTCCACTCCCTAATGCCCTGGCTGCTTCCCAATTCTCCACTATTATAAATGCTACATTGAACTCCTTTGGTGCGTACTGTGAGGGCTGAAGGGAAGAACTAGACTCAGAAACCTTTAAAATAAACTGGCACATAGTTCTCATGCCTTCTCCACTCAGATTCTTCCTGGAACTCTCCTCACAGACCCACCCAGTAGCAGGGCTCTTAACTGATTCAAGATCTAATCAAGCTGACAATCAAGATGAATCATCACACCCTTGAAGACGCTAGGCACCACCATAAAATTCATTTTGCCATCCGTGTGATCCTATTTCTTTGTTTCTTTGTAGTATATCATGTGTATGTTTGTTGTAAATTATTACAGGCTACATCATAAAAAAAATAAATAGCACAAAGAGAGCACAGTGGGAACACAGCTCCACATAAGACAGGATAACGCGGTAGAGTATGCGTCCGCTAAGACCTTAATAACATGGTGTTTTTAATTCATCAACCAAAGGTTGTATCAACCAAGGTTATTGCTTCATTTGTCAGGCTAGCGCTCATCATTTGAGAATGAACAATAGTAGTCCATGCATAGAACAAAGGAGGGTGACTATGATGAAAGTCGCAGGAAAGTGAGTGTCAGAAAATAGCTGTCTTCCTTGCAGAGATTAGCATCACTAACGAGAAGGCAGACACATTGCGGTGAGATAGTAGAGGAGAGAGAGCTCCAAGTGCCTGAAGAAGAAGAACCTGAACAGAAAGAAGTTCCTGGGGACCCTGCTGGCAAAGGACTGTGTAGGAAAGTGTTGTTATAGACTGAATCATGATACAAGACAGCCTGACTACCTCCCAGCAGAACTTGGTGCTGTCTACATGGTGCTGGTTTTGCAGGCACGCAGTTACAGGGGTCATGAAGGATTGCACTAAGTTTCCAGAGAGAAGTCTGTGAAACAAGGCAATGTGTACCATGCATGGTCAGATTCCCTGTAGACAGCCCCTAAGTAAGCAATGGGGGACACCGTGTAGGTGAAGCCAAATTGTACTGGAGACCTCAGGATGTTGGAGGTACCAGGTGTGGAACATTTGCCAAGAAAAGCTGCAGGCACTAAGTGGAACTGGCCAAAGAAAGAGCCCATGTGCGCTGCAGGTATCCGGGCCACAGGGGCAGGGTTGCCCAAGTCCACTGAGGGTCACATTGTGCCTCTGGATGCTGGGCATGGAGTGGGGTGGTTTAAATGAGATGCTCTCCACAGTCTGGGCATTTGAATACTTGGTTCCTAGTGGGTGGTTGTTTGGGGAGATTTAGGAGGTGTGGCTTGCTGGAGGAAGTATGTCACTGAGGCAGGCTTTGATATTGAAAAGACTCATGACATATTGAATTTCCTCTCTCTGTTTCCTGCTTGACCTCTCAACTATCCCTACCACTTACTGTGTTTACTGCCATGGTTTCATGCAGTGTTGGTGGTGGATTCATATTCCTCTAGAACCATATACATAAATAAACCCTTTATTCTGGAACTTGCCTTGGTCATGGTGTTTTATCACAGAAAAGTAACTGAGACCTGGAGCTATAGGACCTAGAGTTTTCCCCATTGGGTTTCAATCATTCTTTGGTACAGTCTTTCCTTGCTTCCTCATTTTGGAATGGGAATTTTTTTTTTAATGTGTCATCATCTATTGGAAACATGTTTTTCAGGAGTTCACAGCTAAGTTTTTGCTTTGAGTCTCAAAGGAGACTTGAGACTTTTGAATAGTGTCAGGACTATTAGAACTATGGAGACTTTTGACATTAGACTGAATACACTTTGCATTATGAGGTGGCCATAAGTCTTTGGGGCCAGGGATGAAATGTTAGGACTTGACGTCACAGGCTTATGTTTGGAATGCTCAGTGCTTACATTTGGCACAGTTTTGCAGGCTGTGGAACCTCTTAAGCAGAGGAGTCTCCCTGGCAGTATTAAATGACATGGGGTAGGCTCTTGAAGGCTATACTTGCCCCTGGTTCTGGATATTTTTTTCTTGCCTATAAAGATGTGAACATACACCCTTTACTACCAGGGACTGAATCAGGCTACTGTGCTCCCCTGCTGTGATCAATAGCAACCCTCTGAAACTGTGAGCCAAGCTAAACCTTCCCTGCTTAACTTGTTTCTGCCATTCATTTCGGTGAAAGTGTAGAAAAGCAGCTTCTTCATTAGCATTGAGGCTTTCTTCTGTAGTGATGGTGACCCTAATCATGAGGACTGTCCTTACTACCTAATCAGCTCCACTTTCTCATGCTGTTGCCTTAGAGATTACTATTTCAACATGGAGGGGGCAGTGCTAGGAGATAGCTCAGAGCTAAGAGTGCTTGCTATGCTTTCAGATTACAGGGTTCAGTTCCCAGCACTCATAACTGCCGAGAACCACAGCTCCAGGGGATCTGATGCCCTCTTCTGGCCTCCACAGGACTTATACACATGTGGGATATACACGCACATACACATTTAAAAAAAATTAAGATTTCAGCATAGATTTTTAGAGGAGGAGGCACATAAAAATTCAAATCACAGGACTAATTAAATGCTAGTAATAGTTGTTGAAGGAGAGTAATTAGAAGAGATAAAGTGATTAACACCTAGCTTTTATTAGCCCCGTATTTATAGATTTATCATTAATAAACTTTAGGGACAGGAAGTCTTTTTACTGGCTGTTCTGTGCATTATAGGATGGTCAGCAGCCTCCTTAACTTGCAAATATCTTAACGTATTAAATTCTAGTAGCATATCTTTCCTTTCCACCATGTGTGAAGCCCAAAATGTCTAGAGGACATTGTTTAATGTTTTCTTTGGGAATATAGAGAGGAAGACTTGCCCCTCATTTGATATTGCAGTATTAAATCCACCACAACTGCTTCTCTTTAAATTCTTTTCTAGAAAACAGAAAGAAATTGCTGGTCTAAGGTACAGAATAACCTTGTCATGGTGGTGTGAGAGAATTATCTGTATTCTGTCAATCATGTATTTTAATAAAACTCTGATTGACCAGGCAGGAAGTATAGGCGGGTCAACCAGACAGGAAGTAGAGGCGGGGCAATGAGAATAGGATAAGGCTAGGGAGGAGAAAGCTCCCTCAACCATTCCTGCACAGACCACCGAAGAGGCAGCATTTAACTTGCCCAGCTGAGAAAGGTACGGAGCCATGTGGCTAATGTAGATAAGGATAATGGGGTAACATAAGTTATAAGAGCTAATAAGTAGTCTGACCTAATGGGCTAACCAGCTTTATAACTTATAGAGATCTCTGTGTGATTGATTTTCTTTGGGACTTGCTGGCTGTGGGGTACTGGGTGGGACAGATACCCCAACAAGCTGGCCCCTCATGCTACATCGTGGTAAAAGAAAATATATGGCTATAGGCACATTCTGAGTACCACCTTGTATGTGTTTATTTTCTCTCAACCAGCTCCATTATCCTAACAAAGTACCAGCACAGCTTGCAGAACCATTTCTGCACACATGCAGTCCAGAGACAGCTGGAGTTGCTACGTTGCTTGAGCATCACAGATGACTTAGTTTGCATTCATTTGTCAGCAGCCTTCGCGATACCAGGCTTCAGGTAGACAGTCAAGTCCCTCAACTCCATGACCAGATGACCAAGGAGAACTTTTACATCCTGTATTTGTTTGAGAAGAAGGCTCATCTGGTGATGGAAGTGGGGGTCGGAGGAGGAGAATCCCAGGTGTTCTGCAGGAGAGGGTGGCGGAGGCGGAGGACCAGGGGGCTCCGTAGGAGGAGTCTCTGAAGCAGTTGGTTTCTGAAGAGCTGGATTCAAGATGGGAGGAAGCAGCAGGGACCTGAATTATTATGAGCAGGAAGCATATACAAGTGAAGTCTGACTGGGCGTGGTGGTGCGGACCTGTAATCTCAGTGCTCAGGAGGCTGAGACCAAGGGAGCATTGCAAATGAAAGGCCAGTGACCTGTAGATCAGCCAGGAGTACAAAGTAAGGCCTTATCTTAAAATAATAAATAAATAAATAAATAAATAAAACATATATAAGGATGATGTCTAACTCAGGCCCTGTCCTCACACTGTTAGCTACTTAGTGAGTTAGACACCTTCAGGGTCAAACTCCTATATGGATGTGCCTTCCAAGTGTTCGTTCTTTCACCTCCCCTAAAACTCTAGACTGAAACTCAGTATGCCCAGGGGTATTCCCATCTATCACCTTAATGTTTCAAGCATGTGCTTCATTTTAGCGAAGCATGCCCCCAAATGTGCCTACTATCTTTTCTTAATGCATGAATTTAAACTGACCATGCAGAATACACTGCTTAACATGCTTAAGAATGGGCCAACCCTTACACGAGTAAAAATGTCTAATGAACCCCCCATGCTTTCTTTGTTTGAGGAGGGCCTTGCTTTGGAAACAACGCCTGTCCTCTCCTCGCCCGACACTGGTAACAAATCCTTCCCCACTCTTGTATGCTTCATCTATTCTTATTTGGTATTGAACTCAACAAGATGTGAACCCACTGTGTTTGGCCACAGACTCAATCTTCCCTCTTTTCTGAAAGTGGCTGTGGTACCTACTGGCAGTCAGGGCTTGAGGACTCTTAGGTCCTTCCTAATTCAAATTTGAGTCTGAGGCTTGACTGTCTTGATGGTCTCTGCGTGAGAAGCATTAGGAGGGAGCCCATCATTAGGCAGCCCGTCGATCCTCTCTCAAGCCAGAATTTAGCTTCTGCAAGTCAGCTCTGGGTTCAGCCTTGCCTTGTGTGTGCCATCATTCTAGTTCTTCATCTTTGTTTCAGTCCTCTCTGAGCGGGTCCCCGAGACACCCGCTCTTCAGTATGATATCACGAGTCCCTCCCAAGTTTCTCTTGGCACGTTGTCAAGCTTTCTCATCAGCCTAGGCAACTCCTTTTAGGTGTGTCAGGTCACATACAATCTTCTTCTTCTTCTTCTTCTTTTTTTTTTTTTAAAAAAAAAAAAACCAAAACAGGGTTTCTCTGTAGCTTTGGAGCCTGTCCTGGAGCTAGTTCTTGTAGACCAGGCTAGCCTCGAACTCACAGAGATTGACCTGTCTCTGCCTCTCAAGTGCTGGGATTAAAGATGTGCACCACCACCGCCCAACTCAAATATGGTCTTCCTAATGGTAACTTCCAGAACATGATAGACACTATTCTTCCTAGAGGTTGTTTGTTTGAGATGAGGTCTCACTGTGCCGTCCTGGCTGACCCTTTCTAGATATTGTCTGCATCCTAGGTATGATGCTCCCATAGATGCTCATATCCCATAGAATCCTGAGTTCTATAGGGAGACACAAGGGGCCAGCCCAGGTCTCGGATTGGTATATTCTGTGGTCTGAGGGAGACATTCTCTTTCTGTGTTCCTTTCCATTACCAAGGCCTTTGGATTATTGCCCTGTCTCTCCTGCATCCCCTCTTCATCTTCCTCCTCCGGGGTTCAGTTGAACCCAGTCTTGTTTCATATACACCCCACAGGCAGGCATACACATTGACTCACCCTGCACCCGGATCTCCAGCTGAGAGCTCTGCTTCCAAACTTGCCTGTCCTCAGTAGCTGCCTCACACCAGTAGGAGCCGGAGTGCTCTTCTGAAGCTTTGGAGATCTGGAGTTCTGAAGAGATGTCGTCGATACTCAGTGACTGTCCATCCTTGTAGAAGGAGAAGAGGAGGCGGGAAGCTGACCTCTGCAGGGACAGCTTTGTCTGACAGCTCAGGGTCACTGAGCCTCCTTCCTGGAGTTCATTAGAAGACGAGGCTTTGAGAACTGGGGCTGGGAACAATTCTAGGGAAAAGACAAGCAGCGAAGAAAAGTTTAACCATCCTGTGCTTAGCAGACCCATAGCTCCCTCCACCTATTATTCTTCCCTTCGGTTCCATTAGGTAAGGGTTTTTTTTAGAAAGGTCCCATTTGAACTTTTCAGGTTCTACCCCCTCCTCCTCTCATTTTGTTCCTTTTTATTTCTTTCCTTCCTCCTCTTTCTCTCCCTCCTTTCCCTTCCTAATTCCCTCCCTTCTAGGCAGGACTAGAAAAGATCCATGAATGAACAAATCTACAACAGCCTAGGTTCTGGCTCTGTGAGAACCAGAAAGCATACATTTGGATGGTTCTGGCCTCCCTACTCCTTATCTATCATGGCAACACTGCTTCCAGCTCTCACCTTGGACTGTGATAGCCACAGGGGAGGCAGTCTCTCGGGCCCCAGGACCAGGGCTTCTGAAGATGCCGCTGCAGTGGTAGAGTCCGCTGTCTGACATTTGCACCGCATCGATAGAAAATTCTCTTTTAGGTCCAGGAGGACCCAGGGCTGAGCCCTCTCGGTAGAAGATGACCTGAGTCAGTGGCCTTTCTTGCCAGGCACGACAGTGCAGAACCAGTGGGTCTCCTTCAAATATGGCTGTAGCTGGACTTTGGAGGATCAGCCAGTCTGTAGTCCAGAGGAAGAGGGGAGTGTCATCCACGTTTCTCGGGAGGTCTGAAGTAATTCCCCTAACAGATCCCCTAAACTTTCCAGGGCACTCTCAACTCTGACTGGCCCACCTTAATGTTCTCTGTCCCCTTGAACTTAACTAACAATAGCAAAGTCTTTTTTTTTTCTCTGCCCTCCCCATCTAGTCCCAAAATATGTTGGTAACTGGGGCACAGCTTTTGCTTAGAGATTGTACTTAGAGTTATGGATGGCTCACCACATTTCCTCACCCTGTCCTGTGGCTTCACAATTGACCCAATGTCAAGGGAAGAACAACCCTAGGGGCTAGGACTGAGGACGTTCTGTCTCCTGGAAGCTGAGGATAGGAAACTAAGTACTTCCACCTATGCCAGGCTCCTGGAGGGTCATTTCCTGACTGGGCCGCCTATCAGGAATAGTTTGAGACACTGCTCAGAACTTCTTGGGACCTCACCATAGGAAACGATGAGATGGAAGGGTTTACTGAACTTGTAGCCCTTGATCTGGAAGTCAGCGTCACCAGAATGGATCACATCATCCTCTTCCTCATCAGTGTGGCAGCTGCTCTGGTCAGTGCTGAGAGGTCCTTCACACTTCAGAGACTCTGAACTGGCAGCTGAGGAGGGATGGCCCAGGGAGAACCACAAAATGATGCTACAACTTAGAGGAAGAGGCTAGGAATGGTCCTCCATAAGGACTCCTCTTCTGACCCAGGGAATAAACCGTCTGGTCAGGAGAAGAGGAAGATATCAAAACCCCTCTAAGAGACTCCTTCGGCCAGATGGCCATGACCTTGTCTCGCTGGTGTTCAGGCCTCCCAGTAAAAGGACTGTGGTTTAAGGAAGTGGGAATGAAGGACCAGTGAATTCATCGGCATGACATCCAGCTGTTGGTTGAGGAAACCAATGGACAATGACAGCCCTGACCCCGCAGCAGGAGTAGAAGGGAAGGAAGATGCACGTCAGAGTATAGCATCCGCCCGGTGCTTACCGTGTGTCACATACTGCTGTCACATGCATGCTCTATTTAATCCCCAAGAGCCTTTCAGGTAGTGACCCCGCCATCCTTGGATCACTTTTGCTGTTGTCGATGATGTTTTATGAGTTGTGCAGCACAGGCTGACCTTGAACCTGCAACTGAACTCCCGCCTCAGCCTCTTAAGTACTAACAGATCATAGGTGTAAACTACAATGCCTGGCTTTCCATTCTATAAACTTGACAGAAGCAGGCCTACAAAATCAAATTTAAAAGAGTGTAGAGAAAGACTTGGGGTGGGGGTTCACTGGGGAGATAGCTCAGTTGGAAAAATTACTTAACTTGTATCTAGGAGGATCAAACATAGCCTTGTAACCCCCAGTGTCGGGAGTTAAAGACAGGAGACACCCAGCGGTTGCTGGCCAGCCTGCCAGCTAACCTGGGCCACTAGGTGATGACTAAGCCAATGAAAGACCTTGTCTATAAATAAATAAATAATAAATAAATAAATAAATAGGAAGAAAACACCTCTGGAATGACCTTTGAGGTTGTTCCCTGAGCTACACTAACACATGTACATATATGCATGTACACCCACACACATACAAACATGCATCCCACACATACACGCATGTACATTTAAAAGGGAATGAATGAAGGGAGGGGAGAAGGGAGGGAAAGAAGGCAGGCAGGTAGGCAGGCCTGGTAGGAGAATATCTACCTAGCCTGCATGAGGCACTGGGTTTGATTCCCAGCAACAGCACCACCCCAAGAGTCAAGAATGGAGCAAGAATGTCAGGTTTAAGTTCAAAAGGAACTTTTGTTTGCTTTACTTCAGTGCCAAAACTTAGTTTATTTCAATCCTTTGACCTTCCTTGGGGACACCCCGCCCTCATTCTCCTTTTCCCAAAACTCACTTGGCTCTTTAGTCTTGGAATATGTTGTCTACACACATATTCTACATATGTCCCTCTTTCTTCCTTGCTTCCCCTTTCAACTCTTCATTTATCTTTTTTTCTCTTTTTCTTTCTCTTGGTTTTTCAAGACAATGTTTCTCTGTGTAGCCCTGGATGTTCTGGAACCTGCTATGTAGACCAGGCTGGCCTTAAACTCAGAGATCTGCCTACCTCTGCTTCTGGAGTGTGCCACCACCATCCGGCCAAACCTTTGTTTTTTTTCAGTTCTCTCTTATCTAGATGTCCTCTGCCCTTGAACTTCCCCCAGAAATGGCAAAGCTTTCTCCATCCTCCTCTCTCCAGCAAAGCATTTATAGTTAGGCTGTACTGGTAACTTTGTCTCCAGGGTGAATCTTAGAGAGTCCTCCCCACATCAATCTCCCTCTTAGGGCGATGACTAACCGGGATAGATAAGTGTCATTTCTCCCGGCTCTGTCTGCTCTTGTCCCCTTAGCCCCTCTTTCTTCTCAGCCCCATACTCATGTGTGCCTCTTTGTCCACTCCACTCTCTCCTGTCCCAGGCACCTTTGTTCTCCTCCGCTCCCAGTGGACTTCCCCATCAAGTCTACTTCCTAGTTCTCGGGGTTCAGTACCCAGTGTTTCCTTTGCGCCTCTCAGCCTTCTTCTCTATTAGGCTACCTTTTTTCAGTTCCTTCACTGTCATAAGACTACACTCAGCCTCCTCTTGTTTTGTTTTTCTAAAACAAAAGAAAACGTCAGGGCTGGAGAGTTGGGTCAGCTGTTACAAATCCTTGCTGCTCTTGCAGAGGACCCAAGCTCGATTCCTGGCATCCACATGGTGGCACACAACCATCCACAACTACAGTTGCAGGGGATCCGACATCCGTTTCGGACCTCTGCAGGCATCAGGCGTACACGTGGTACATAGACACATGCAGGCGACACAGTCACACTTGAAGTTAAGTGATTTAAAAAATGTTAAAGCAAAGCCTTGTTGGCATAGCTGGCATCGTCACTCGATAAACCTTATGTGGTTCTATGGGAGATATTGTCATTCTCATTTTTTTGGGGGGGATTGGGGGGCTTGGAGACAGGGTTTCTCTGTAGCTTTGGAGCCTGTCCTGGAACTAGCTCTTGTAGACCAGGCCAGCCTTGAACTCACAAAGATCCGCCTGCCTCAGATATATTAAAAGTGATTTTTGTTTGAACAGGATTTTACATCCTGACCATCCCTGGATGGTCTGGCATTTTCAATGTTACTCAAGCTGACCTTGAACTAGAGGCGATCCTCCCGCCTAAGGCTCCCTAGTCCGGAGATTACAGGTACACACTACTTTGTTCTACCACAAGTGACTTTTTCAAAGTGATACAGAACTAGAAGCTAGAAAGGGGGCTTGAAATTAGAGTATGTGATTCCAACACCATGCGTAGTTCTTGCTACAAAACCAAAATCCCCAAGCCTCCCACAAATAGCTCTTGGTTTGGTGTGAGACCAAACACGTGAAAGGATCATTGCAGTGTGTGGATGCATGCAATAAGAACAAAGTGTCTCAGGCAGAAAGGGGGTCCCACAAGGTTTTGGGGGAAGATGCTACCAAGATGGTGTAATTAAGGATACCTAGAAGTTTAAAAGGGAAAGGGAACTGGGGAGCCATGGCAAGTTCATTTCAGATGGAGCTAAAAATACACGCAAAGCCTTGGAAGCAGATGTGAACCTGGGCTGTGGATAGAAATTTGGGTTGGTTGAGCCCTTGTCAGAGTAGCAGTGGGGAGGCTTTGGGGGCGTGGAAGAAGGGGCTGAAGAGGTTTAGTAGATGCCAGGTTTGGGACTTCATGTGCCATGGCAAACGCTTGTATTTTAGAAGTCACTCTGGATGCAGAGTGAAAATTTGTTCCAAAGAGACAAGGCTGAGACACGATTAGTAAGGAAGCCATTGCACAACTTCAGCCACAGATGATCGAGGCTTGTCCCAAGACAGCATTTGTGGTGGTTCGGGGAAGGAACTGGTTATGAAAGCAATATAGGAGGTGAAATTTGCCAAAGTCGGACCTTCAGAGGACGTTAAACGAAGAGTTCAGAATGCCTCTTGGGTTTCTAGCCGAGGTCCCAGGGGAGTCCCAGTGCAAGGGACTGAGATCAGATAAAGAAAAAGATGAATTTTAAAAAGTGAGGGTCTGGAGGACAGATGAATTCATCTCTGGTCATGCCGTGTTGGTACCTGTGACACGCATAGGTCCAAATGTCTTGTGTAAAGCTTAATATTCAAACACGTAAGTCAAAAGCGTGCTTAGAGCTGGAAGCCTGCCCTGTGGCTCTAAAACAGACAAGTGCCACAGCAAAGCCATGTAGATACATTTCTGCAGTCTCACTAGGAGGCTGTGCAAGAAAGAAGAGTACGGGGTGAGAGGTATAGGGGAAGGTCAGACTGTGGAGAACTCTGGAGTTCACAGGAGGGAAAGAAAAGCTATGGAAGGACTACAAGACATCCAAGCAGTACACAGAGAAAATGGACAGGAGTCAGGAAAATAGAGGCTGCAAGAGAGACTAAGCCATCAAAGAAATCCATCCGGGTAAAATCTGAAAAGCGTACAACAGCCTCATTAGTGCAGAGGTCCCTGCATCCTATGTCAACCGGACTTGGTGGAAGTCATGCTGCAAGCACTGAAGGGTGGGTGAGACATGAGGGAGAGACAGCAAGCCCACACAACGCTTCCAAGGAAGTTTTACTAGAAAAACAAGAGATAAGATTTGCGGCTGGCAAAGGATTCATAGTCAGAAGGGACTTTCAGGATGGAAAATATCTGAGTTTTTCTATTTAAAAAGAGAGCCATTCTGTCCCGCACACCAGACTTGTCCTCTATCTGCCCTTGTCCCACCTAAACAGGGAGTCTTTGAAAAGCCAAAGTCAGTCCATTTTCTTACCTTTGAGTCCCTCCCCGCCACACCAACATTAGGCGTATCTCATTTCCACACCAACATTCAAACATTACTTACCTGGGAACGTCTGGGCTGCCAGGAGCACTGCAGGACTAACATAAAGAACCCATGCCCGCAGGACACAGCTCAGCTTCATGGTGATGGTGTTTGTATCTCCCACAACCCCAACATGCTGAGTTTCTTCCACATGAAACCTCTCAAATTAGAAAAGAGGAAATAAATGTAACTGTCTTGTCTCCGCACACCTGGGGCCTAGTCTGAGATTGGCTCTTCTTACTCAGGTTGGGCCAGGTTGGTTCTGATGTCATCTTCATTCTCCCGGTGGTAGATGAAACGCTAGGGCTCTCAACTGTTACAAAATTTTTTTTTTTTTCTTGTTGAGCTCAGGGGCCTTTCGAAATGTGTTATTGATTGATGATCAACTGGCCTTCGTATCACATCTGGAAAAGGTCCACATGACAGCTCACTGGAGACAGGAGGTAGAAAATTAATGGAAGAAAACCATTGGGGCATGAGAGATGTGATGTGGAAGTGTCCTGCTCCAAGCTTTACTTGTGTCCAGGAATTAAAATACGGCAGGAGAGAGAGGATTGATTGATAAGGGCAGGGGACAGATAAGTCTCTACTGGGCTCAGCCCCATCAAACTTGTACCCAAATTTCTCCTGATCGGTGTCTTCGCTTTGTTTCTACAGCATAATGTAAGCTGTTTAGTCACCGGGAAAATATGAGTAGAAGGAAGAGTTATTACCCTGGGAAAGAACATAAAGAAAAAGAAAATCTATTCCCAGAGGCCCCAGCGGCAAGCCTAGCACTTGGGTTCCCTGGCAAAGCTCAAAGCACTGATTCCGAGGAACCTGAAGACAAGAAGTACCCAGCCCTTGAACAACGGGATGAAACCAGGGAACGTGAGCGATGCGGAGACCACAGCATCTCTCTTTATCTCCACGTGGATTTATGGGAATCACTGCCCCTGACTTCAATTGTTTGCTCAGAGGCAGGACCTATGCCTCTTTGCACAGTGACCACACTCCTCTACCCTCACTTGACACACTACTCACACCCAGGTCCAGATAGATTTGAAAGTGGGGTGTACCATCATAAATGTGGGGTTTGAAGGCAGTGGGTGGGACTGATGGCCAGTCAGATAGAACAGATCAGGGCAGGCCAGTTAGCAACGCAGACATGGGAGAGTACAGCTTTTCCTCTTCTAGTAGAAGCAGTTAGAATAAATTTTCCATTATGTAATAAGTATTTTTTTTTTTTTGCAGATGGCCCCAGGGAATGCAGAGCTGGTTGAATATGGGCGTGGGGGAAGGCAGTGAGGCAGTAAGTTTTGCAGCTGATGTGGTGGATTTAACAGCCTCAGAAGAGGAAGAACAATCTAGCCAGCTCTATGAGAAGTCAAATAAATAAACCATGGTTAGATGGACTTTCACCCCGAAGACTACATACCAGATCTTCTCATGAGACAGGACAAACATGGATTTTGAAAAACTATGATGATCTTTCCCTTCCCTTATGACCCCTTGTACATGGGTTCCCTTAAAACCCCATGCCATCTGCACTGGTCTTGACAGAAGAATCCCATCTCAATGTGGAAAGCAAGATGGCCTCTGAAGCTATCACTTGAAGATCATATTCTTTACACTTGATTATCCACTTAACCATGGAGAGGTTCACACAGTTGAAGCTCTACCAATGAACTTTTCTGAATAAATGTGAAATACCCATGTCAAAGAAACTCAAAGAAGCAAGATTAGTTGTCCTAGGAAACAAATAGTTCATGGAGTTAGTTCTGCTATCCAGATCACCTCAGACTACTCACAAGGACATGGGACAAATCCAACCCATGGCCAGTTAGTACTTTGCGATCTTCCTTGGTTGTTCTTGGCTTGTCACCAGTGGGCCCATTTACATATTTTAACAAGATTCTTTGTTTGTCTTTATTTATGTATGTGTGTGTATACCCGCTTGTCTGTATGGGCACCAAGTGCAAAAATTACTAGCCAATAAAAGCAACACATATACAGAAGGACTTCCCATACCAGGTGCCCTTGAAGGCCGGAAATGAGCATTGAATCTTCTGGAACTGGAGCTGCAAGTGGTTGTGAACAGGCCATGTGGGTGCTGGGAACCACACTCTTATCCTCTTCAAGAGCAAGTGCTCATAACTGCTCAGTCATTTCTCCAGCCCATTCACTTTAGTGTGTGTGCATACATGTTTGCGTACGCCAGGAGCATGACACAAGTGAGCAATGTGTGGGAGTTGCCTCTTTCCTTCCACCACGTCCTGCAGTTTTAACTCAGGTTGTCAGACTTGACAACAGGTCCTTTACCCACTGAACCATTTCATCAGCCCAGGAATCTATAGCTGCTTTAAATGTGAATTGTTTATCAATTGGATGCACTATAAATGCTTTTCAATATGTGATTGGCCTCTTCATGTTACATCCTCCTTTTTATTTGGGGGGAGGAGTATATGGAGGGGTATATGTGTTCATGTATTAGGGGGTGCTAGCGCATATCAGATGCCAACCTTGGCTGTCATTCCTCAGGAGTCAACTACCTTGCTTTTTGAGACAGGGTCTCTCTCTCTCTCTCTCTCTCTCTCTCTCTCTCTCTCTGGAACCTGGGGCTTACCAATTAAGTTGAGCTGTCTGGCTAGAGAGTCCACCGCCTGACTCCACCTCCTCAGCGGTGGGATTATAAGCATATGCCACCATGCCCCGTTTTTTATGTGGGTAGTGGAGGTCAACCTTGGGTCATTATGCTTGTGGGACAGGGACTCACACGCTGAAATAGCACCCTGGCTCCACATTGTGTGTTTTGAGACCACTTTATTGAGCTATGAAGAGATATACCCAATTCACATATTTAAACAGTAGACTTTGATGAATTTGGGTACAGTAAGCGTGTGAAGCTGTTGCCAGAATAAGATAAACAAAGTGGTGGCCCCTGAAATGTTTTCATGTCCTTCTGTGAACACTTTCTGCCTATCTCTTTTGAAAAGAAACCACTAATTGATTTAATGTCACTATGACCTTTGGCACATTTTCTGTAATCATATATAAACTGAATTGTATAGCACATCCTTTTTGTCTGGAGTTCTTTCACTCAGTATAACTGCTTTCAGATACATTCTTTTGCTGCATCTGTCAATAGCTCTTTTCATTTGGCATATGCCTATACCGCTCTCTGCTCATCCGCTGGCATACCGGTTAACCAGTGAATGGTTTCTATTTAAGGCTACAATAAGCAAAGCTATTATATGTACAGGTACATGTTATTACATGGACACAAGCTTTCATTTATGTTGAGCACCTATGAGTGGACTGATTGGATCCATACAGGTATGTTTTTAGGTATGTATATACTTTAACTTTTTAATTTTTTTTTTACTTTGTACATTTATTTCTGCTTTTTTGAGACAGAATCTCCCTATGTGGTCCTAATTGTCCTGGAATTCACTGTGTAGAACTAGCTGGGCTCAGACTCACAGAAACAAGTCTGATTCTTCCCCCCAAGTGTTGTTTTTTTCTTTTTGTTTGTTTGTTTGTTTGTTTTAAATCTTTTCTGTGTGTTGATGATTTGCCTGCCTGTCTGGCTTGCACCTACAGAAACCAGAAGGAGGAGTTAGAGATAGCTGTGAGCCACCGTGTGGTTGCTGAGAATCAAATCCACATCTTCTGGAATAACATCTGTTCTCTTAACTGTAGGGTCTTTCCTCTAGTACCCACCCCCTCCCCCGCTTTCACTTTCAACGGTTTGACACAGGTTCTTATGCTGTAGACCACACTGGCTTGGGACTCACTATCTAGTCCAGGCTGACTTTAAATTTACAACAACCCTCCTGCCTCAGTCTCTTAGGATACTATACAGGCACGAACCACCATATCTTGGCTTTATTTTTAAGCTTAAAGGAGAATGCTAAACATTTTTTTTCTAGATTATATCCATCAGAGCTCTCCGTAAAAAATAAAACTAATGTACACAAGTGAGGAATTTATTCTCGATTTTGGCCCACGTGCTGATAAAAAACAGCAACTCCTGCCTTCTTTCTGCAAGCTGGAGAACTAGGAAAGCTTGCTGTATACTTCAAGTCCAAAGCCCTGGCTGTCAGGAAAGTCTGTGGTTTCTCAAGATGAATCTAAAGAAGAAGTGAGAAGCAAGAGTGCTGATATCTGTGGGCGGGAAAAGATAGACAGCCCAACTCAGAGAAACCAGGTGCCCCTTCCTCCGCCTCCTGCTCTTTTCAGGTCCTGAATGGAATGGGTGTGTGCCACCTGCAGCGGATGAGGGCAGATCCTCTTTCCTCAAACTACTGAGTAAATGTTAATGTTAATTTCTTCCATGAATTCCTTCACAGACACAGCCAGAAATATTGTCCTACCTGCTCGCTGGGCCTCCCTTAGCCCAGGCATGTTGACACATAAAACTAGCCCTCCCAGTGGCTGATGCCTGTACAATGCCACCAGCAGTACAGGAAAACTCCAGTTATTAGGGAGTGTTTGTTAATACCCTGCATTACCCCACATGGTGTAAAACAACCCTTTCACAGGCTAAGCCTTGCTCCGAGAGACTATCTTATAAGCAAACACAGGAGTAGGGTGACTCTATACCTTGCGGGGCATGTAAATGACACCATCATTCCAACACCACCCACAAGGCACAAACTGATAAGCCCTAAAAATAGAAAAAGTGATACCCTATAAATTTATCAAAAATAAATTGGAACTGTAGGAACATGGGTATATGAAGATCATATCAAGAGAGCCAGGTCCAAGAACGTATTAGACACATCAAACTGAGGAAAGGGTACTACACTCCTTCATCTGGAGCCCATAAAAGAGAAGACACTGAACTCTGCAATGTCAATGGCACATACCTAGTGTGTATGTCACAGGACTGATGGCCAGACTACCCCTGACTGTCCCTGGAGTTTCTACTCAGCATAATCCTGCTGTCGGCACAGACCGCTTGAATTGTCATCCATCTGCTTGGCTTCTCATCCGTCTGAACTGCTGTCTCTCTACCTGCCTGTTCCTTCCTCTGAACCGGTCCTGCTCTTTGCTTTTAGGGCCTCTAGGGTCTGACACCTTGTTTCTGGGCTCTCTGTCCTTACACCCTGACTCTACAGCAGTAGCAGGCATGGTGTTTCCAGCAGGCCTGCAGCCATATTCATGAAGAGGCTCTACATCCCTATCAGTTTCCCAGCTTCAGCCTCTCAGGTTACTTTGAAATTTCTTGAACTCTGCAGAATTCTCTTAACTCTTTGTAGCCATCCTGTGACCTACAAACGGACAACAGACCGACAGACTTGGCTTATACTTAGAAATTACAAGCAATGGTTAATCTGCATTGTCAACTCAACTGAATTTGCAGCCACCATCTACGTTAGAAAAAAACAAGTGGTCACTGATGTCCTTCACCCTGCGAAGACAACAGTACCAAAGACAGAAGTTTGGGGAAAGCTAGCCCAAATCTGCAAGATCACACCAGAGATCATCTCTGTATTTGGACTCAAAAATTATTTTGATGATGGAAAGACAATTGACTTCAGAGTGATCTATGACTCTGTGGATTATGTTGAGAAGAATGAGCCTAAACACAGACCTGCAAGACATGACCTTTATGAGAAGAAAAAGACCTCCAGAAAATAGCAAAAGGAACTCGAAGATAATGAGGAAGATCAGACTGCAAAGGCCAGGGTCGGAGCTGGCAAAATGCAAAAGAAACAGAGCTTCTGAAGTGACCTAAGGTGCTGTTCAGAAGATCCTGCCCACTCTTCTGTATTCCACAGTTACCTGGACATATACCCACATGTACGTATACCCACACATAGAGTTGCACATATATATGTAATTGAAAATAAAATAAATCTGTGGTGGTTTTTAAAAATGGCCCCCAAAGGGAGTGGCACTATTAGGAGGTGTGGTTTTGTTGGAGTAGGTGTGGCCTTATTGGAGGAAGTGTGGCACTGTGGGGAAAGAGTTTGAGTTCTCCTATACTCAAGGTACCGCCCAATGTGACAGACACTTCCTGTTGCCTGCAGGATGTAGGACTCTCAGCTACTTCTCCAACACCATATCTGCCTGCATGCCACGATGATCATGATAACAGATTGAACTGCTGACCTAATTGTAAGTGAGCCACCCCAATTAAATGTTTTTCTTTATAAGAGTTGCCATAGTCACGGTGTCTCTTCACAGCTTTAGAAACCCTAACGAACACACCTTTTAATTTTTTTCTCGCTGGGTGGGTGATGGCAGCTCACTGGTGGCACACACCTTTAATCCTAGCACTTGAGAGGCAGAGGTAGGTAGAACTCTGAGTTCTAGGCAGCTCTGGTCTACAGAGTGAGTTCCAGGACAGCCACAACTATTTCCCAGAGAAATCTTACCTTGAAAAATAAAACAAAATAAACATTTTTTTTTTCTCAAGTGAGAAATGATCATGAGTGAGAAGTTTAAGAAGTTGATGTCTAGGGGCTAGAAAGATTGCTCAGTGGTTAAGAGCACTCACTGGCAGCTCTTCATGAAGATCTGGGTTCAATTCCCAGCACCCACATGGCAGCTCACAACTGTCTATAACTCCAGTTCCAGGGGATCCGACACCTTCACACAGATGCACATGCAGGCAAAACACCAATGCACATAAAATAAAAAAAAATTAAAAAAAAACTGAGGTCTAGATGACCTGGCTTAATTTCTACCCTGCTTTAATTCTCATTTACCCCTGAAGACAGCAAGTTTGTGGACCAGAAGTTTCCCTCTGAGCATACAAGCTGGCTGGATCAAGAATGGCCACCAGAGTAAACACAGAATCCCCTCTAACTTCGTTATAATCCCCTCTCCATGCTAAGAATGCAGTCTCTGGTGCCATGACAACTGACAGTTACGTAGAAATCACCGGAAAGAACCATAAAAGGAGAGAGAAGAGGTGGACCCCAAATTCTCAGAGGAAGTCCATCCAGTCGCAGAAAAGATATGAATATTTCTCTTTTTTTATGAACCTACCCTTTGGCCCTCACTTCTCCCACCTATCTCTAGAAACTCCTACTTCAAAGGGTTGAGGTTTGCCAAGTCTGTTCCACTTCCCCTATTCTTGACCAAGAATGAAAGTGTCCCTCACTGCTCAACGCTTGCTCTTCTTAAACAGCGTCACCATCTAAAGAGGAGAGAGACACAGTTTGGGACAGAAAAGAACAAAACAAACAAACGAAACTAGTAACAAATTATGCTCTAGACTCTTCAAATTGGAAAGGAAAGGTATTGAAGTGAGTGCATATACCTTTAATCCTAGTACCCAGAAGGAGGGTTTCTGTGAGTTCCAGAATAGCCAGGACTACATAGAGACCCTGTCTCAGAAAGGAAAAAGAAGGAGGGAAGGAATGGAGGAAGGAATGGAGGAAGGAAGGAAGGAAGGAAGGAAGGAAGGAAGGAAGGAAGGAAGGAAAATTTAAGTTTTTGGTTACAGACAAATTTTAAATATGTGTCTTTTTTGTCAGGTTAGCATTTTATTAGATAAAAATAGGAAGGAAGGTATCTGCCCACCCCTTCCTCTGGCTCAGCACGCAACTCCCCCTCCTTAAGAAAGAGCAAGAGTCTAACACTGAGATATAGTAGAGGACTGGGGCAGACAGCTGAGGGGGAATTTGAGTGTGATGGTGTATACATACAACCCCCAGCACCTGGGAAGTGGAGGTAGGAAGGTCAGTTCAAAACCAGCCTCAGCTAAGCGAGACCCTGTCTCAAAAACAAACTGGGTGTGTGTTGGGGGCTTCTTCTAGAAATGGCTACAAAACAGAAATCTCAGCTACATTTTCCAGGAGGGGGCTTTTGCCTGGCTCTTGCCCTAAATAGAAGGCCTTCCTCCCTCTACCAAAACCCAGAAAGATCAGTGATGTCTCTTTTGTAGTCCAGGTAGGCAGAAAGAAAGGTAACTTCCAGTCTATGTGGGCCTTGATTCCCAGGTCCTCAACGTTCATCAAATCCAGGCATTGGGCAGGTAGAGAGACGTGCCTCAGCCTGGGGAAGCCGTCCTTCCCAGTGGGGAGGCTTGCTCTCCAGCCCCTCCAAATATGTGTCTTTATGTCTTAGTCTCTATATCAGTTGCTTGTCCTGTGGGTTAGATAAAAGGTTTATTAGGAATCAGAGTTTTAGGAATCAGAGTTTATAGTCCATCACAGCAGGAAGTAGTGGGGACCAGGAGCTTGAGACAACAGTTCATATTGCATCTGCATTCGGGAAGCAGAGAAAGATGACAGTCCTTGCTCAGCTAGCTTTGCCTATTTTGGTACAGTTCTGAACCTCAGGCCATGGGATGATGCTGTCCACATCGGATGGATCTTCCTATCTCATTTAAACTAACTAGATAGTCCTTCATAAGTGTGCCCAGAGGCTTGTCTCCTAGGTGAGTCTAGCTCCCACCAGGCTGACAATCAGCATGAACTGCCACAATCTCTTCACGATGACCCATGACTGCAGATTTGTTCAGCAAAGCAGCTCCTGGGACGTCACAGAAACAGGCAGGCTCTGGCTGGGGCTCCACACGAACGTTTGTTTTTCTGTTCTTTGTAGCTTTGCTTGAGATTGTCAGCATAGAATTCATTCTCAGTCACTACTGATTGGCCTATTTAACGTACTAATTGAGATAATTGTTGAAACAAAATATCGAGCAGAAATGAAATAGACGAGAAGATGTGGGGTACAAGCGGGCGCCCAGTGTGGTGGCTCACATGTGAGAGCCAAAGTTACATTTTAAGTTTTAATTACTATGCTTTAGAGAGCTATGAAATAAAAATACCTCTGATCTGAAAGCCCCTTGCCCAGGCACAGTCAGTTCCTGAAAGGCCAGAAGCTGTTATTTATGCATGCTAACAAGCCACATGCTTTCCACTCCTCTAAACAAGTTTGTTTGACCCATCTGCACTGGATGTGCTTGATCGGTCACACGTGGGCAAGAGGTTCACAGGCAGGAAAAACATCTGGATGGATGCTTGCCCTGATTGCATGTAAACTGGAGGTACGTCAGGATGTATGCTTGCCCTGATGGATGTAAGCTGGAGGTACGTCAGGATGCGTGCTTGCCCTGATGGATGTAAGCTGGAGGTACGTCAGGATGCGTGCTTGCCCAGTTGGACTTGGTAGGAAATGTAATGGATTATGGGTTTTCCTTCTTAAGCAGCTGCAAATCATGGCTTAGGGCCAGATCCGAGCGACTTGGCTATAGACCTGGCCAGAGCCCATCCTCCTGGCCAGTATGTAGTTAAAACTTGTTTCAAACTTGGCTCTAAACTGTGCCCGTGGTCTTACTCTCAGTTGGTGGGATTAACACACACCCATAATCCCAGCACTTTGGAGGCTAAGGCAAGAGTATGACCCTGAGCTCCGGGTCAGCCTGAAACTGGTTGCTAGAGATTGATGCAATCTCAGGGCTGCCTTGCAGCAGGCATCACGTGAGACCATCCCAACTGGGAGGAACCAACAGGGCTTACCAAGACAACCACAATGTGTTGTTGCGGCACTGTGACAGCATCTCAACCTTGCAAAGTCTCAAGTTCCCATCATTGCACTGGACACCATGCTGATCCGAAAATCTCAGATAAGAACAGAAGAGGGGAGAAAATGCTCTTCTCAGAAAAGTTTCAACCGACTGACTCCTTGAGTATCCAGTATCCCCATACATACCTTAACTCATGAATAAGGCCTTCCTTCCATTAAAAATTATACATAAAACAAGCTATCCAAAGCCCCAGCAATGAGAGTCTTTGAGAAACATATAAGCACCTCTTGAGTCTATGTTTTCACTCTGTAATAAGATGTTATTCCAGTTCCTTACTTTGTCATGTCTCTGAATTCTTTCCTTGATGGTAATAAGAACCTAGAAACAGGGGGAAGGGACTGGGTGGAGAAGACAGAGGGATACTGAGATCCGGATGTAATATATGAGAATAATAATAATAATAATAATAATAATAATAATAATAATAATAATAATAATAAAAGAAGAACTGGAAACAAATAGGTAGAGGCTTTGTCCCTGACTACTACCACAAGCAATAGAACTTCTTACCTCCAACATACATGGCTGAGGAAATGAAAGCATCTGCGATAGGCTTCTGATTCAACAAAGAAATTTTACAGAATTTGTTAACACATACCTGTAATCCCAGAACTTTGGGGGCTAAGGCAAGAGTATGACCCTGAACTCCAGGTCAGCCTGAAACTGGTTGTTAGAGACAGGTATTAATCTGCATGCTAATACAGGGACTCTAGCTACAGGATTATTGTCCAGCCAACAAATTCTAAAAAAAGATGACCAAATAAAACTATGTTCTTTAAGGTAATTTTCTTGGGATTGGAGAGATGGCTCCACAGTTAAGATCACTGGCCGCTGTTCCAGAGGACTTTGGTTTGATTTCCAGCACCTACCTGGTGGCTCACAAATATCTGCCACTCTAGTTCCAGGGGATCTGAGGTCCTCTCCTGGCCTCCATGGACACTGCATAGTGTACAGATATAGATGCAGGCAAACACACATAAAATAATAAAATATTCTTGAAAGATAATTTACTTACTGTTATGGTAAAAATAAAATGCTGCAGGTCCCCAAGTGGTGGCAGTGGGCATTGGACATGAAGGCAACTGGTCTCAGGCAGAGAGCCACATGGAGGATGAGAGACAGAGACATGGATAGGCACGCCATGCAGAGAAAGTGGGTATTTATTTAGTGGATTATGGAGGAGTTAAGGGAAAGGGGGTAAGAGGAGAAGGGAGAAGAAAAGAGAGAGAGGCAGAAAGAGAGGGAGGGGGGAAGGACAGGGTAGAAGAAGGGGAGAAGTGGGGAGAAGGGAGAGAGGCAGAAGCTGCCTTGGGAGAGAGCTAGAAAGGAGGGAGCTCAGGCTGGAAGCAGAAGGAAGACCTTCTTGGGGGAGGTAGGCGGGGCTTGTCTCTTAAAGGGACAGGACAGACCATTACACTTAACACCATTTCTTGAAGGAGTTCCATTAGGCCTTCTCAATAAAGTTTTAGTTCAAAAGACAGATAGATATTAGCAAAGCAAGTTGGTAAACGATTACAAATATTTACACAAGGCTCTTTCTGTAATGGTTTAGATAAACTGGTGCAGTTTCCCGAGGGCCAGTGGGTCCCACGAGAAGCCATTGCAGGTGACCCAAGATGGATAGACGTCATGCAGAGAAAATGGGAATAGTTTATTTAGTGGGTTATGGAAGGAAAGGGAAGGGGGAGGGAAGGGGAGAAAGAGAGAGAGAGAGAGAGAGAGAGAGAGAGAGAGAGAGAAATGGGGTGGGGGGGAGGAAAGGCAGCAGCCACCTCTTCCAAAGAGGGAACAGGACAGAGAGAGAAAACACAGCTGGAAGCAGAAGAAAGATCTGCTTGCCCTGGTGAAGGGCGGGGTGGATGGGCAAAACTATCTGTGGTGATGGGAGGTTGAATCAAGATCTATGTGCATGTTCTTTTGGGTTTTGTTTTTTGGGGTTTTTTTTTGTTTTTTGTTTTGTTTTGTTTTTTGAGGTAGAGTTTCTCTTAGCTTTGACGCCTGTCCTGGAACTCACTCTGTAGTCCAGGCTGGCCTCAACTCACAGAGATCCACCTGTCATTGCCTCTGGAGTGCTGGGATTAAAGGCGTGTGCTACCACTGCCTGGTAAGCCTTGTGAATGTTAAACACGAGCTCCGCCGCTAAACTATACCTCCAGGCCAAATTTTTACCTAAGAAAACAAGGTCAATAAATTATATAAAAGTCTTTAACACATTATCAAAACACACACAAGCACACACACACACACACACACACATTTTGGCTTTTCAAAATGGGGTTTTCTGTGTAACAGCCCTAGCTGTCATCGAACTAGCTCTTGTAGACCAGGTTGGTCTTGAACTCACAGAAATCTTCCTGCTTCTGCCTTGCAAATGCTGGAATTAAAGGCTTGTGCTACTACCACCCAGCTCCAAATCATATTCTTGAGCCACATTTATGCTACAAAAGAATAATGTTCCCGATGTTGATTAAAAGGAAGTGAGACATCTTTTTCAGTGAATCCTTTTGTATTAGTGATGAAATTTGCATTAAATTTTGTTTTGTTTTGTTTTTGAGACAGACTTTCCCTGTGTAACAGTTCTAGCTATCCTGGAACTAGCTCTTGTAGACCAGTCTGGCCTTACTCACAGAGATTCTCCTGCCTCTGCCTCCCAAGTGCTGGGATTAAAGGCGTGTGCCACAACCGCCCAGCTCATTAAAATTTTTTAAAGCCTTGTGTAGCCCAAGCTTCCTATGTAGTTGAGAACAACCTGCCCATACCGCCTAAGTGCTGAGGATACAAGGCTGTCACCACACCTTGCTTTGAAGTTTTCATCTTTAGAGATAGAGCTTGTAATTTTATTGACTAGTACAGTGTATTCATTACTTTTCTTATTGCTGACAAAATATTTTATCTAAATATTATATCATATTAGGGTTGAAAAAACTCAACATAGAAATCATTTCTGGGGCTGGGGTGATGGCTAAGTGGGTAAATCACTTGCTACAAGAGTCTAGAGTTTAGATCCCCAGAACCTACATAAAGGACAGTCACCATAGCAGAAACATCTCTAATCCCAGGGCTCCCCTACTGGAGGTAAGGATTGTTGAAAGGTTGGTGGCCTGCTAGCTGGAAGTACGCAGCAATAAACAACACGAGACCTTGTCTCAAACCAGGTGCGAGGCGTGAGACCAATACCTGAGGATGTTCTCTAATATCCACATGGCACATGTACATGAGTGTTCATGCACACACACGTGTAACATAAGGGGCCGGCTTGTTGGGGTATCTGTTCCCGCCCGGTACCCCACAACCGGCATATCCCAAAGAGAAAATCACACACAGGACTCCATAAGGTTATAAACTGATTGGCCCATTAGGTCAGGCTACTTATTAGCTCTTATAACTTATGTTACCCCATTTTCCTTATCTACGTTAGCACATGGCTTGGTACCTTTCTCAGCGGGGCAGCTTACATGTTTCCTCTTCGGTGGTCTGTGCAGGAGTGGCAGAGGAACCTCCCTGCTTCCCAGAATTCTCCTGTTCTCATTGCATCACCTCTACTTCCTGTCTGGTTTTCCCACCTATACTGACTGCCTGGCCAATCAGCGTTTTATTAAAATACATGATTGACAGAATACAGACAATTCTCCCACACCATTTCCCTCTTTTTTTTTTAAACAAAGGAAAATACCCATAGTCCATTTGTTGGGAATGTGGGCGTAGTATTTCAGACTACTTCCTGCTGGTTGGGGGCGCTGATAATCTTATGGGGACCTAAAGAAAATTTAGAATTATCATCAAGTCCTGACTGGAGTATCCTGTGAGTCTTGATCATCTCAGGCAGCAGTCTTGAACCTGTTCTGGATGAAGAACTCAGACATCTGGGCCATCTGTTCCTGTCAGAGATTTCTCAGGTGGCCTTCCTTGATCATACTGGATTTTTCTTAACTTAGAATGAATCCACAACCTCTCATTTTCTGTGGAAACAAAAGCAAAATCTCTTCTCCAAAGTAACAAACCTTTTGACTTCAGTTTTGAAGCCAAGGTATTTTCAAAATACCTATCTTGGGTTAGTTCAGCAGTATTTATAAACAGAAGTCTTTTAGCAGCTGTTGCTCCTTCCTCAGCATTCAAACAATTCAAAGAGAGCATAATAGCATACAGTATCAAGATTCTCTGTTTATTTTCCATCTTTTTGTGGCTTTATTTCAATATATATTTCTTTTATTTTCACTTTTACTTTTAGAGACAGGTTCTCTGTATATCTTTGTCCTGGAATAACTCTGTAGACCAGGCTGTCCTTGAACTCACAGAAATCCACTTGTCTCTGACTCCCCAGTGCTGGGCTCAAAGGTGTATGCTACGACACCTTGAACTCACAGAGATCTGTCTCTGACTCCCAGGCATTGGGATTAAAGGTGTGTGCTACCACACCTTGAAGTCACAGAGGTCAATCTCTAACTCTGTCCCTTGAAGTCACAGAGGTCAATATGCCTCTACCTCCCAGGCATTGGGATTAAAGGTGTGTACCACCACACCCTATATCTCCCTTTCTTTCTTTTTTATTTTTAATGACTTTAACCTTTTAGCCTGCATATATTTTTAACACACTGTAAACCATTTAGAGGTTTTCTTCATCTTTGAATCTCTCTTTACTGTATATCTCTCTTTTTCTGACCACATGAGTCTTTAAGGAGAGGACTAAAACTGTGGCTTTTACGTCTGGAATTAGCTCATTCCTTAGCTTTCCAGCCTCATGGCTGGGGTACCGCCAGAGCTGTGTTCACTGCCACAACTCTATGGCATTTCAAGGTCCTTGCTAGCAAGCAAGCTGTAGTATTCTGCTCACAGACCACACTCAGTCGGACTGCCTGCCTGCAAGAGTCAGAGTTTGTCCTGGCAGGACAGCCCAGAAAGCTGGCATTTTTAAACAGCACAGCTTTTTTCCTGCTACAGCTTAAAACCGAAAAGCATGTGTTCAGCTTTTCATCAACACCGTTTAAGTGTTTTGTGGCAGGACCTCTTAATGAGCTGCAAGGTTTTGCAGCTAAAGCTGAGTCAGGAAGCCTCTCTTAGATGAGAGCCTTGCTTGCCTCTAGCAAGCAAAGTAGACCCGAGAAATTGCTGCTACCAACAAAACATTCTTTACTCTATTCTTTCCCAAGCTTTCTCAGGCTTTCTGTGGATTCAGTAATCCACGTCTGGGTGCCATATGTAACATGAGGGGCTGGCTTGTTGGGGGTATCTGTTCCCGCCCAGTATCCCACAGCCCGCGTATCCCAAAGAGAAAATCACACACAGGACTCCATAAGGTTATAAACTGATTGGCCCATTAGGTCAGGTTACTTATTAGCTCTTATAACTTATGTTACCCCATTATCCTTATCTACGTTAGCACA